TTTTGCTACGGTTGGCCATTTTGCACGCCGTTAGTGAGGGGAGAAATTAGGTCGTGAGTACTCTGAAATGGTATTAAGAATACAATATTTCGACTTCGTTTGACTTACTGTAATAATCCCGCAAAATTGAGACAAAAAAAGTGGAAAAAAAATATGAAATAAAAAAATTAAAAAAAGGTTTTGTGTGTCAGCCTTGGCTGACACAAAGGAAAATTGGTCTCCTGCGCGCAGGATAGCCCTGCGATCGGCGCGCAGGAGACCAGAATTGTTATCTCTCCCCCTCTCTCTCTACAGTATCGTTGTATAATCTTGTTTGAAAGTTTAAATCTATCAAATACAGAAGAAATTCGTCAATTCATATTTTTATGTTCAACGCATTTATTCACTCATGCAAGTCAGAATTACATTATATTCTAAGTGGATATACAAAATTTTCATAACTAAATGACTGAGATTTGAATTCAAAACATTTCTCCACTATCATGTTAAATCACTTCAGTTGGTGCATCAATAATGTCATTTCTATGACAATTTAAACCCCCATTTGACATTTTTTTTTTTTTTAAAGAATGAGTTTTTAAAGAGTATTTTTTTGAAGAATGTACTGTTAAATAGTAAGGAAAAAGTTTTGGGTTTACATGAAGAATATTTTATTGTGAGAATATGTGGTTGAAAATGAGTACGAGAAAAAAAGAATTTTGAAAGAATGGTAACCAAACAAGGACAAAATTTCAAAAACAAATATTTTCGAGAGCATTCATCTAACATACAAAGCAAGTCTTAAAGAAATCACATATCGAATTAAAAATAATGTTTCAAAATCAAATTTTGGTTCAGCAAGATCTTTGAGAAAAGAGTTTTTCCATTCTAGAATACAAAAACTTCGTACTAATCGACTAATTTTTTGATGTAACAAAGCATAAACTTGTAAATATGACATTTGGATAAAATCCCATTTTAGAAACACTTAGCCCGTGTTTGGTTTTCATTATTTTCAAAATACATTTTTTTCTTTTTTATTTTGAACCGCACATTTTTCAATAAAATATATTACACACAAATTCAAATTTTTTTCTAATTTTTTAATCATACATTCTTTATCAAAATATTATTTTAAAACGTATATTCATAAAAAACGATGAGCTTCAAAAGGACTCTTAAATTACATTCACTAGTTACACTGACAAATTTTTTTAGTCAACAACCTAGTAATTGAGAAAATATATGTTTCACACACAAATCCAATCACATTCACTAGTTACACAGAAAACACCGGATCCGTTTGATGGTAAAATTGAAATTTGGGTGAAAAAAAAGTGAACTCCAAAGATTTGAATTGCCTAGAATTGTTTTCCTATGAATTGTCAAGTAATTGTGTTTGATTGGTATAATTTTTCACCTGAAAAATATTGAAATTTTGGATCTTTTGATGTTCGTTTAGCTTTATTTTTCATGGAACTTGTCCATTAAAGTAATAAAATTTGTTGCAATTGGGAATAAAATTTGTTTCCATTGCAAAAACTAAAAAAATAAAAAAAGTTGCCTAGAAAAAGTTTTTCCTACCAAAAGTGGTGGGAAAAGTTTTTTCTCAAAAATCAAGAAAAATGACCAAAAAGGGGGTTGGGTCATTGGGTGGAAAACCATTTGTCAAAAAAAAAAATTTTTTGCCTATCAAACAAATAAAAAAGTGGAAAATGAAAAACCAATTCCGAGTTCCATAGAAAAGAAATACTATCAAATATGGCATAAAAGAAATTGNCATTTTTAGTTTAGGAGTTTCAAAACCTGATGAGTGAATTGTGATTCCACTCCCCAAAAAAAAATAAAAAAATGAAAGAAGTTTTTCCACTAAGCACAAAAGTTTTTCCATGACAAGTAATTTATGATCCTTAAATTTGGCCCTCAAGTCTTGATTGAATTCATGTATGAAATGTTAAGCCCATGATATTAAGGTTGTGGGAACCGAATGAGGCATTGATAATCTTGTTTGAAAATTTAAAAATTTAGATGTAGCAATGATGATCGTTTTACAATATTCGTTTTAATCATAACTTAGAATCGATTATAAGATATTATTGAAAATGTCTAGAACCATATTAAGAGTGTGTTTGGGAGAAATTTTTGTGGGATTTTAATCAAATTTATAGCCGCTAAAGTCAACTCGTGGGCTCCACCTATGAGAGGGAATGTCAAAAATGGTGGCTGATTTGATAGTTAACGACTAGATTTTTTATTAAAATCCTGATTAAAATTTCTCCCAAACAGGACCTAATTATCATGATTTAGGAAGGCGAACAAGATGAAGTTTGTTTAGCATATAGAGGAATACGATAAAAGAGTAAGGATAAATGACACATCTTCTCAAAAATGAGAGAATTGTCCCGTCCATATCCATTAACATGATATATTAAAAAAGATTATAGAGGTATTGTGAAAAAATCTTACAAAAGAGAAGTACTTAAAAGCGAGGTTCATGAAAAATACTTATATAGCTTAAGAACTAACTCGACTTGCTTGAATAAGCGACTCCATGACCCACAAATTAAAAATATTACAAACTAGCTTCACTTGTTTAAAAAAAAATAAAAATTACACCCAAATTCAAATTTGGAGTCACAATTAGGGATGGCAATTTGAACTGTTAAAATCGAAAATCGCGATTAACCGAACCGAATGTGACGAAAAAAAATCGAACCGATGGTACAATGAGGTGGTTATGGTTTTGATTTTAATGACCCGGTTCAGGGTAGGGCGGGTATGGTATTTAGAGATGATTCCCCGTCCTGAACTGGGTCATTAATGTTTACATCTATATTAATGTTTAACGACATTGGTTCTAGATAGCATTATTTAAAATATAATTAGCTTGGCCAAAGTTGATTATAAAAATAAATTGACTTGGATATGATTTTTAGTAGATTAGAGTTGGGTCAAGAGGATTGATGAAAAATGATTTTCATACTCAAGTTTATTTTCGGTAAGGCTTGACTTCTTGTGCTTTTTATGTGATGAATTGGACATGACCACTAGTATAACAATGGGGTGGGTATGGTATTTAGGAAATTTTGCTCCTTCATATACTTCGAAGTTTGTGCACGGTTTAGTGAGGAGGACATTGACGAAGAGGTACATTTTCTTGTTTAAATATTCAGTTAAGACAATTCTTGATTAGGTATTATAAATGTATTATTACTCTAATTACATTTCTTATTTACTATATATGAATCAACTTTGAGTCTTGACTCATGCTAGTAAGAGTTGTGGCGAAAAATGAAGATTTGCATATGCTAGTAAAAGTCTTGACCTATATTGATAATATTGTTTGTTAAANTTGGGATATTGTTTGCTAAATTAGCTTAGTATTGTGTTTTTGTTTTTATTGAACTTTTTTCAAAATTTTTTTTTTCAATTTGACGGTTGAAGTTTGGACTTATAAAAAATAATTTATTTTTGTGGTTATTAACCTAACCGAGATATGAACCTAGCCGACTTACGTGATTATGGTGCGATTATGGTATAACAAAAAATTTGATGTGCGGTTATGATTTTGATCGAATCAACCCCAAATCGAATCATTGTCATCTCTAGTCACAATCACAACAAGATCCACAGGGGAGAAGTGCACAAAAAACTACAATGTAAATTCAAAATTTGTCACACTCTGGGATTTTGCTTGCATTGCAGTCCGTGCAATGTCTCCATGATTGTTTCGGTTTAATGCATGTACAAATATTAAATAAATGCCCACTTGATTTTACTCTGCAGCTTTATTAATAATGGGTATTACAGACTCCGTTGCAGGGGCAGTCTGACACCACTCAGAACCCGAAACCAGAGTGAGATTTTAGAACAATCCAAGCTATTCCTCGCACTTCGTGTCAAGGGCCCGCAATTATTTATTTGAAAATTAAGCCATGTTCGACAATTATTTATTTGAAAATTCTTTCTTAATGATTTATTTTTAACCAAACATTCACGTAATAAAATATTCTACACGTAAACTCAATTTTATTTATTTTTTATTTTTAAACCACATATTTTTCAAAAAATTACTATTTAAAATATTTTTTTCCCAAATAATAACTATCAAATAGGAGCTAAAAGATGAAATAAACAAATAATATACAAGGATTTGCCACCATTCACTTTAATAAAGATAACTTATTTTGATATCGGAGCTTAGCAAATTTAAATGAACAATTCGATTCATTTAACGTTAAAATAAATAATTAAATTTTAATATTAAGAATATCGCAAAAGATGAAATAATTGAACCGCTCTTCTTTAAAATGTTCGCCTAGTAGAAATAGAACTCCGATTAGCCCTTGTTTGGCCTCCATTAAATTACATTAAATTTTTCTCTCTTCATTTCAACCACACATTCATTAAATCAAATAATATTACACATAAATCAAATAAATTTTAACCACACATTCTCCCATCAATCACTATTCTAAAATTTTCAACCCCTAAAAATGCAAAATAATGGGGTGAAACGGGGGCTAAAACTCAAAATATGCATGCGTCTGCATGCACGTGCCTTACAAACAAATGGGATCCAATAAGATAACCTATAACAAGCATACAAATGGGATCAAATAAAAATAACCTCTAATACCATGTGTACAAAACAAGATGGTAACACAAGACCAACCAATTCAACTTAAGTCTATGCTTCTTTTCTTGGGAGATGTGAAAGAAATTTGTAAGAGGTCTCCCAAAATAAAGAGAATGTGTTAGTTAATGACTTGAACACAAGCTTGACCAAAGCAATCGCCTCCGCTGCTTTCTAACATCAGCCCCCGTTAATGGCGTCGAAGAAGGATAAGGCTCCCCCACCATCGTCCAAGCCGGCAAAGTTTGGCGGTGGCAAGCAGAAGAAGAAGAAGTGGAGTAAGGGAAAGCAAAAGGAGAAGGTGAACAACATGGTTCTGTTCGACAAGGCAACCTACGACAAGTTGCTTTCTGAGGCCCCAAAATATAAGCTCATCACACCTTCCATCCTCTCCAATCGTCTCAGGATCAATGGATCACTTGCAAAGAAGGCAATTAGAGAACTGATGGCTAAAGGTTTGATCAGAATGGTGTCTGCTCACTCAAGCCAGCAGATATACACAAGGGCCACTAACACCTAGGTATTGTGTTCGTTTAATGGGAGAGTTCATATGGATGAGTCATTGTTGGTTTTCCGTTTAGATATTGCGGTACAATATGGATACTGCTGTAATGTGTACTTTGATAATTTTTCTAAATCATTTCTATTTGATGGTTATTAAAATAAAAACACAAGCTTGAGTTTGTTACACATACTAACAGGGCTAGCACGGGCGAGTTGGCTACAATTGTTGAGTGCCCTTAGTGCACTCGGATGATTTCCATCTAGTTAGACCGCCTTGCAGCAAATGTTATAGCTTAGGGACCTAGAAGAAAAATCTTCAAGTAGTAAATCTTGGAGAGAGACCATGACTCTAAAATTTCTCTTAAATCATAGTATAACTTTGATGTAATACCCGAAATAGTTATGTGCGACAACATGCAATTTTGAAATTAACCACAAGAAAAAAAAAATTAAATGCAAAACTTAACACGAAAAAAATAAATATCGAATGTCACTACCTTCAAATTACATGAGCTTTTACCAAAGACCTAATGTTACATTGCCTTGTGATCGATTCTACTTCTAAATGGTTAAGTCTATTCAGGCTTCGGCAGTCCTAATATTCCAAACACAATTAAACTACACATCTAATGGCTCTGTCCTCTTTACACAAATTTTAATAGTTTCAGTAATGACAGAATAATTCTAACTTCTTCCTTTCAACAATGGCTAATTCTTCTCAAGGCATCACTCTCACCCAGTCGTACTGTCCCGAGAGGGGTACATCATTCGTAACATCAAAATTATACCTGCACAACACGAAATGTGGCTAAGGTAAGCTACATTGTGACAAAAAAATAATCATTTCTAGTTAAGCATTTGAATTTTGTACTTTTCCATAAAAAGGTTCTGCTGCGACTGCTCAGCACGGGCAAAAAACTCCTCCACCTCATGTGCTGTAGGAAAGTTTCTGAGAATGGCATCCTGGGGTCTTTGAATCGCTGCCTCGGGACTCGTCCGTCTTGTGGTCGAGCCAGGAGTCAAGACTGTGCCGACAGACTGAATCAAACTGCATGGTGTGCTTTCCCTAGTGCTCCTGCTGAAATGCAGACACTGATTACAACCCAACAAAATAAACCACCCACTTGCAATGTGAATTTAAGGCACTGCTTCATGTATAATAAATAAGGTCCACATGCAGAAAATAAGATTACAGCACAAAGGGTAAAAGTGCAGAATCCAATATATTCATGGATAGCACAAAACCAGAGATCCCACATACTTTTCCAATTTGCCGTGGCTGACCCCGTGAAGAATATGAATTATTGCAATCACAACTATAGTAAAAAAAAAAAGGTATTTTCTAATTTTCTTCAATAAAATGATAAAGTCGAATTCTCAACCGCCAGATCCACTAATTTTCCCAAAATTCATGCTGTCTACCATTAAATACTCCTACTAAAACATTTTTGGGGAATATTTCTTGAAAAATGCTAGAAGTACACAAAAGTGTACATAAGGGTGTTCATAATGGACACCCGGAGCCCACACAACAGAAAATACTACCAGAAGTAATCCAGAAATTTCTCTATAGTATACGAAAACAATCCACATATTTCTAAAATTTGGTACCAACCATGTTCATGAATTTCATTACATTTACTCAAAAAATGTACATGTACCAACAAGAAAAAAATCAAGATATACATCAACAACAAACTAACCATCGTCCAAACAAATTTGGGATCGGCTACATGATCATTTCTTTTCAATCCCCTCAATTCATTACTAGATACTACAAGACGATACTGAGGTAATATAATTGCAAGTTTGCATGGGAGCACAGGCATGTGTGGGGAGTTTTTTGGGTTTTAATTGAAGGCTAGTGGGGCTGGCAGTGGTCCAGATTTTTTATTTCATGAAAAAGAACCATCAGGTCACAACGCTTGTTACCTTTTGTGAAAGCAATTTTACACAGTTTCCTTGTCTGACATAACACGATGCAATGAATAAAAACTAACCCCAATAGAGTATTAAAGGCATTCAAACTGGAAGAAAAAAATATGGCTTTTCCATTAAATACTTCACTGCTCAGAGAAACACTCAGATAAGATTGCTTGAAAAATACTTGACAACTTTACATACACATCCAAACATACAACCTAACATCCATGTTACATTGTAAAACTTGTCAGAAAACTATTTTCAAATCTTACCTCCTCAGGAGAAACAAAACCCCCCAAAAAATAATAAGATTTAAGATGAAAAAACAATTATTTGCAGAAAAAAATACTCAGAAGATACTCTAATGTACAAAGTTAGTACCCAAAAGATGTTATTTCTCTGAAAATGAAAACAGAAATCCTCCTAAAAAGGGCTTTTTTTTTCCTTATTTATCTTGTATTTTCTATCAATTAAAAAATAACAACAGAACAAAAAGATAGCAAATTTGAGAGTTTTAGAAGCCAATACCCACTTTTTTATCCCCAAAGATGTTGAAAAAGATTTACTTTTTGCTGTTGTATAGCAAAAAAGGGGTCAATTTTTAGGGGGTAAGGCTCTCTTGAGAAAATAAAATAAAATAAAATAAAGAACTAAAGAAGTGAAGGTGGGAGAGAAAAGTTTGAGTTTCATAAAATCTTCTTTCCCTTCAGCCAAAAGATTTTGCAAGATCGCAGCTGAATGAAAAAAATAGAAATAAATGAAAATATAAAGGAAAATATAAAGGAAAAAATTAGCAAAAATAAAAAATGTACCTTTCTCTAGCTTCCCAATCCAAAATATTTTCACCAAAAGAGGCCTCAATTTCAATATCCCCTGTATCCCACTCTCTGTTTTCCATTTCAAAGCACGTCTCCTCTTTCTTAGCCATGCCAATTGAATCCGACCCGGAATACTCCTCCTCACATAAAACTTCAAATTCCGGGTCCTCTTTTTCTCCGCAACTAAACCCCTGTTTCTGCGCAGACCCTTTTTGGGAAATCTGTTGGTGTCTCGAAAAAACCGGTTTCTCGAGTCGGCGTGAACGAAGCTGGAGGTAACACGACTCAGGCTTTGACTGCGCGGCGGTGGCAGCTGTGAAGGAGGATTGAAGACGTTGAAGGGCTAGGGTTTTGGCCCGGGTTCTTACACCGGGGGTAGATTGTGAGAGTTCCATCACGCTTACGTCACCTCCTATTTTAGCTTTTCTCATGTATTTTCCCATTTCTGTTGTATTCTGTGGGTGAGAAATGTGAGAGGAAGTGTGTGTTTTCTTAAGGTTTGAGAGAGAGGAGGGGAGGAGAGAGAGGAGGGAAAATAAAGTTAGGGTTGGAGTTTTGAGGTCAACAAAGTAAATATTTATTTCTTTTTCTTTTTATCTAGAAGGCATGAATTGATAATTTTTTTTTAAAAAAATCTCAACTCTACATTATATACATATTTGAGTATATGCGGTGAATCCTACAAAATATGTAAATAATTTATATTTGTGAGCTCTGCATAATGTGTAAATAAAAATAGAATTCGACTAATTTATAATTACTTGTAAACTTTGCCAAATATACACTAAATCCTACAAATAGAGCCTCGGGAAGTGTATTTATCCACGAGTACGAGTTTTCAAATACTTATTGTCATTAACTCATCGATGTAAGCATTCAAGAGAATGGGAAGATTATTGAGAAGACATGGGATGAGACGGAAGCATGACAGGGTATGTGGAGGTATTTCAAGTAATTATTGATATACGGGTAATTTTTAACGGTAAGAGAAGAAAAGATTTCTATGAAGTAAGAGATTTAAACATTAGTAAGGGTTTAGAGTTTAGGCGTAGAACCAATTTGAAGTTTCACTCACGAGATCATATATACTTTTATTATTTTTATAACGTGGACTTCTAGCAAGTTGAGTGTGCCTATAAGTGCACGTTTGGCTAATCTTAAATTAATTTTTAACTTGATCAAACATACCATTTGTCCACACATTACGAATTATTGTCCACTTTTGTTCAATAAATCTTAGCGCACGTGTATCATATACATTTATCAAACATTTCATATAGAAAAAAACATTATTTTTCCACTTAAAACAAGATTCACGCTTGTAATTTTTTTTAAAATCTAGTTAAAATTTATTATTTCTTGGAAAATAAATAAAAGAACAAAAGAATTAGAGTCCAATTAATTAAGGTCAAATGCTTAATCATAATAATTTAATTTGTATCATAATTAACGACAGGGACTCGACAAAAGTCATGCAGGAATTAAAGATTTCCCCTCATTGTTTATTTTTGTGTTGGCAAAACTATGATGTTCATTAAATTCCTTGTACAATTTTTATTAATTAAAATATACAATATTTGATTTTATCAGGTTGGGAATCACATGGATTCTGCTAAGATTTTAAGAAGCACAAATATCTAATTATCTCGTAGGTTTGCGATATTCACCACGTTAAAGTTATTTCTTTTCGATCTCCTTCCGAATATAGTGCTTCGCTTTTTAATTCTTGAAACGATCAACTTACGTCCCCCTTGTATATTTATTGGTCACGAGAAAATGACAGATCAAAACCACCATAAAAAAAATCATGCGTAACTTCAACCCAATATTATTTCGAAAGTCGTCTTGCCATTTATTTCTTGTTCTTTCTCTCTTCAATAGGAAGACATTGGATTCCTCTAAAATTATTTGCATTTAATGGGCAAACGGGACTCTCACGTTGTCTTGAAAGAAAAGACTTCAATGACTTGTGTAAAGAGCAATTTACAGGGTAAAGAATTAGGCACACCTCACTTGGCTAAAGAGCATTAACGAACTTCACCTCTCTTTAATAACCAAGGTTGACTAAATCAATTTTTCTCTAGTAAGGTTGCGAATGAGCTCTGTGTGACACTGCTAAATGCTAAGTGCAAAATTATTTTAAAGGCCTAGCATAAATAATTGATTGACGGCGAAACGGCAAGCTCAATAATAGTTCACTTGCAGAAGGGTCGGCACTTATTTTACACGTGATGCGACTAATGCTTGAGAGGTCTAGTGATCACCCTCTTGGCCAAACATTCGACGCTCTAATATCATTTTGTAAACTTGTTTACATTTCGAGTCAAGAAATGGATAAATAGACACATTCGTTCACAGTGAACAAGTTTAATCTAAAGAGTCAAGTTTGAACTTGGCATGATAAATTGAAATGCCATTTTGTTACCATATCCAAACCTTCCTCTCCAACTTGTTTTAGCATACTAATGGATGGAAGAACTTAAATCATAACAATATTAAGTTTCTTGGAATGCTCAAAATGAGTTAAATTGTAGTAATGTTTTCCCTATGAGTAATGCTATGCAATCTCACTGGGGTTACAACCCCAGTCTAGATAACGTTAATGCGATATTAAATGATATGTGAAATTAAATAAGTTAATCTTATTGGGGCTCTTATATTGTGGCTTTTCCCTACACATCAATTAGTGGGACAAATTCTTTATTTTTAATTCTTATTAAACCCAACAAAATAGAATCTTTTTTCTCAAAAGTTCCCCCCAAAACTTTACCTTTTCATTGGCCAAAAGAGAATATGAAACCCCTACCCCACACCCTTAACTTTACATGATGATCACACAAGTCATTATATGCACTTTTACAATAATTATATATTATACCTACTTTGGATAAAATCCAAGTGAAACACACCTTGCTTGATGCATGAACGATGCTGTGAAGCTAAGAAAAATCTTGGTAAAGGTAACAAAAGTAAGGATTCGTTTTGCATTTTCGTGAACTGATAACAACCAACTTTGTTTATGAATTTGTTAAGTTACGTAACACACAATTTACAGTAAACCAGGGGCGGACCCAGCACCTGTCAGCCGTCCGCTGGATCTGTCGGGAACAATTTTTTTTTTTGGACAGTATATAAACGTTTTAGGTTATGTATTTGATAATTCATTTTATTTTTAAGCATTGCTTGTAGTCAGGGGGCGGACCGATACCATTTTTTTTGGGTCAAAAATGTTTAGGTAATAAAAAAAAACTCAAAGAGGAAAACTCAAAAAAAGAAAAAAAAAAAATTGTGGGGTCATTTGACCCCATGTGGGTCCGCTAGTGTTTGTAGTGCAATAGGTTAGAGGTTATACATACAATTTTTTAACAAAACTAATGCAATAAGGAGGAGATTCAAACCTGTAACCCTTTTTAAGATTATTGAATATTTGACTATCATGACACATGTCGAATTTTAAAACTAAATCTAATATAATAATATATATTTCATTTTAATGGTTTTAATACAATTGTAAGAATTTGAACATATGCTTTTCCTTTGATTTATAGGAAACCTGACCACTGTGTCATTTGGTGAACATTGTCCATATATATAATAAAATTATATATGTTTAGTTTTAGCAAAATAAT